TCGCGGCGGCGAACCAAACAAAGACGGCTAAGAAGTAAGATGACGGTTGATGACTGGAATCGTTGGGGTAGTTGGAAAGCTTATTCTGTGGGTTCAAGATGGTCTGCACAAGCATTGAACTGGGGTTCTTGCACAGAGGTTTCCGTCCGTTGGCGTATTAAATTGATAGCAGTGCTGGACATTTTTGAAATGAATCATCCACGTTTACCACTCGACAGCGCCACAGACTGCATCGATAGTCTGCGAGCGTGGTCCCGTTCGGGGATGAATAGAGGACAAGGCTGTGATGAGTCGACGTGGTGTGGCGCCAGGTAGGACAGGCAGGCAGGCAGGACGGCCGACTTTGGTCACCGAGCCACCACCCCGCCATCCCGCTTCTGCCGCTGCTTCATTCTTTTTCTTCTCTCCTACCCTGGCACATTTTGGAATGAAACCCATCAGTCCTCGAGATTGTGTTATTTCCATCCGGTTTTATCGGCGATTGAAGAAAGAGAAGCTAAAAAGACCAAGCCACGTGCGCTTTTTCTTTCTCCTTTTTACAGAACCGACCAGGGGTGGGTTCTGTCCGGCCCATTTTGACGGGACGCGCGATGGCTTCTTCGACTTCTCGGTGTGTGGTGCTTATCTATATTCTTCTTCTGCGCAGTAGTTATGGAGTAGGCAAGTAAGCTTCATGGCTCGGGGGAGGGGGATTAAGGGACGAAGGGAATCGGGTTACGGAGGTGACGGGCATAGATACAGGTACGATAAGAGTTTGGTTCGAAGGGAACCTTTGCATTTGTACCACCACTCTCAACCACTCAGCTGTTGCTGAGCTGTCTGTCTGTGGCGTTCGTCCTTTAGTGCTCTTATTCGGAAAACAGCTGGCAGCTGTTTTTTTATCAGTGAGTCGCGTGTCGACGAGGACGCTGCAGACCTGCAGCTGTGGTTGCGCTAGGTTCTTGGGTTTAGAACGATGGGAGATGTTTTGGGCCGGCCTCGAACCAGCGACCAAATCGGACCACATACGGAACACGACGATATGCAAGCCACAGCCAGTCCTGCAGCTGTCCTGCTAATGCTTTCCCCCTCCAGCAGGGCGGGTCAGCTAGGTACGGAGCGGGGACCGACGAAGGACGGGGACGAAGAAGTCGGGGGGCAGGGGGAGAGAGGATGCCTGTCTGCCTCGTGGGCGGATCGATTGGAAGGTGTATCTCTCTTCTTGGCGTCGCGTCGCTGCGGCAGAGCCTTGTGAAGAAGAATGTCTTTTTCGTTGGGCTATGGGTTCCTTTTCCTTTTTTCCCTTCTTTCTATCTTTCCTTACACTTTGTGGGTTTTTATAATCCCATCGTGCGACTTTTTTTCTGCTGCCAGTGGGCGACGGGTGAGAAGGAAATACGACCCTGTGTGAAGCGTTACCTCGACCAACTGCCGCGGCGGTTCGGACCAGAGCCTTCCCATCCTCCCTCTCACTGCTCAGCCAGCCCAAAGCTGAGCCGCCGGGCCGGCTGGCTCGCTCACTCACCAACAACAGGCAGGCACACATCCCATCATCGTCGGGTCGGACAGGTCAGCAAGTCAGCGTCGTACTGTACGGCATACAGATCCGGTGCGAAGAATGAGAAGAGAAGGAGAAGTGAGAGAGAGAGATGCTTTGAGCTCTGAACAAAACTCCGAGTACCTTGGTTTTTTTTCGTCGGCGACCAACCAACCGCACTATTCTTAGTCCCTTCTCCTTACAAACAACCTGGCGACGACACAAAGAAGACCCCTGTTTGGCGTTGGAATGATAACATCGTCGCCTTCTTCGTCGACAAGGGTTTGAGCTGGACTTGAGACTGTCAGGGATATTTGACTGCCCGACGGTTCCAATACTTTTTTGGAGGCGCTTGGGATATACAGACGACATTGAACGAACTGGAATCCACCGAATTCGGGGCCCGGCCCGGTAGTCCTCGATACCGTGTACTTGGCTAGACGACACCATGGAAGACATCCGGAACCTGGTCCTCTCCCCCTTCCACGACACCGTCGCCAAAGCGAAAAAAGCCGTCGAGAATGCCACGACCAAAAACGACCAGGCCATGGTCAAGGCCGCCCAGAGCCTGGTCACCAACGGCGAGAGAGCCGTCAAGCGGCTGGAACCCGTCTGTCAGAGGGGCTGGGACGAGTACGGCGTCGCTTTCGTGGATGCACTGAAAGAAAATGGTATCCCCTCTCTCTTTCTTTCTCGTCCTATACAGATGCTGACAAGATAGACGAAATCTCGAGCTTCCGGGAAAAAATGCACGAGATGCTATGGGACCTAGACGACTGCATCGAGGGCGACACGTTCGACCCACAGGTCTTCACCCAGCTCCAGGGAATCATCCGGACGGCAGCGCTCCGCACGAGCGACATCATCGTCAGGATGAGACTTACCCCCCGAGTCCCGGGGAGCGTAACAGACGGAAGCCAGGCCGACGACAGACAGAGTGAACCGCCGTCCAGGCCGTCTATCAACCCCTGGGCCGAGTCGCTCCCGGACAACTTCTCGGAAGAGGCATCCGAGCGTCGACCACGCGTAGATCTAGGGGATGACAACGACCCAGGCCAGCCGCGCGCCGACTCGCCCACGCTCGAACGGACACTCCCGCTACGAATCCGGCCGCGGACGCCATCGCACCGCCAGGAGCTCATCGAGTCCCAGGCAGCCTCCTACCGCGGCTCCAACTCCGACGGCCACGCCTCGCGCTACTCGCAGGCGAGCACCTCCTCCCCGCACACGCGCAACAGCGTCATCAGCCCTGTCACCGAAGAACCCTATGCCTCGCCCATCACGCCCCACTCGCGCCCCGAGAGCTTCAACCACCAATGGCCCGTCGGCGCACGCATCCAGCAGCCCGGGCTGGAGCTCGCGCCGCCGTTCCATCTCGACGACGGTCTCATCCCGGTCCCGCCGGCGTACGAGGAGCGCGACGGCCAAGGCATCGAGACCGTGTCCTCCTCCTCGGCACAAGGCGTGGACAAGAGCTGCACCATCACGCCCGACAGCTCGTTCCACCGGCTCAAGGGCTTCTGCGACGGCGCGACCGAGGTCCTCCGCGGCAACCTGGGCGTCAAGAAGATGCGCCAGCAGACGGGCGGGCTGCTGGGCATGGGCGTGACCACGACGGCGCGCTGCAAGCACTGCATGTTCGAGCTCGACTGGGGCCTGGTCGAAGCTGACCTAGAACGAGACCCGCGCGCGACGTACAAAACCGCCGGCGTGGGCTTCCGCATGCGGTTCCTCTCCAAAAGCCACCTGCCGGCCAAGCGGGGCGTCGACGACGAGCTGTACGCCTGCGTGTTCTGCGTGCAGACGGGCGTGACGACGCACATGGCCGACGCGACCGTGTTCTTCTCGCAGAAGCAGCTGTTCGCCCACCTCGCGCGGCACCCGCGCCCGCTCCCGCCCGTCGCGGGGATGGTGGTTATAGAAGCGCCCGACGTGCCGCCCGAGCATGCCAACGCGTTCGACCTGCACTTCTCGGGCCCGCCGGCGCCGCGGTCGAGCATGGCCGAGATGACGGCCGAGCAGCTCAACCGCGCGCCGACGGCCGTGGCTACGCAGACGTTTAGGGAGCTCAACGGGTCGCTGCGCCTGCCGCCGGACCGCGCGGCCACGGTGCAGTTCGCTGCTGGCGCGAGGATCGTCGGGATTGAGTTCCCCGTGCGCTATCAGGGCGAGTGGGCTGTCGGCTGGGCGGACCATGTGCGGGCGGTGTTCCCGATGGACCATGTCAAGCTTGTCGTGCCGCCCGAGGCGGAGAATCACTTGTCGGCGGCGGATCAGGTTGCCGGGGGCCATCATGGGGGGAGTAGCAGGACGGGTGTGGCGAGGTGGAAGCGGCGCGGGGGGGATAGTAAGGACGGGTGGCTCAAGTTTGATAAGGGGGAGGCTATTACTGGGATTACTTGTGAGTTTTTACTTCTTTTTCGGTCAGGAACTCAAACTAATGATTATAAAAAAAAAGTCTCATCCCAAGACCACTGGTGCTGGGCGGGCTACAACCAAAGAGGAAAATGGGGTTTCTTCCCCCAGGCTTTCCTGGAGCCGAGCTCGATCGTGGATAACTCTGGGCCTGCCAGTCCTACGTCGCCCGTTGCCGGCGGGAATGTGAGTCTGCATAGTATCGAGGGCGTGAGGGGGGGCGAGGGTCTGTTTTCGAGGTTCTCGAGGCGGAGGCGGGATTCGAGGCGTACCGGCTCGGGGACGGCAAGGCCGATGTCAAGGCCGGGGCCGTTGCCGGAGGATGGGCCTGGACCTTCTATTTATTGAGTTTCTTTGTTTCGTCTGTGTGTTTACGATTTGGGGTGTGACGATCTGGCAAGGTGTTTTGGTGTTTGGTGTTGAGATATCCACGGATATATATTTACTTGGGTATCTACGACGGGAGTTTGGAGGTTGGAGGGTGTCTGGGTATTTTCTAGATTTAGTGTCTCTTCTGGTCTGATGAGTATACACTTCGGGTTGGTGTTGTCTTTTTACTATTTGCTGCCCCTTGGGTTTCTGCCAGGCTGAATTAGTACGAGATATCCAATACATAACACCGGGAATATTCCGTACAAGTCATTACCTGGCGCGTCTCTGTGCAACAGAACACACCAACAAGCCTTTAACCGTGCCTAGCTCCCCGCATATGTCGATCAGGCCATTTCCTATCGGGTCAGGAGCAACATCGCCAAGCTTACCCAGTTCTCGAGTAGTTTCTTGAATTTTTGAATTACCATTAAAAAGCAGGCATCACAATCTCCTTTACATATACAATCCACACCTCCTTCCTTCCTCCCCCTCCTTTTCCAACGCCCATCCAACCAACCAACCACCCCACCCAACGAAGCAATAGCACGCACCACCACACTCCGTAATCCGCACCCAAGCCCACAACACACGAACGGGTCACACTTCTTTTATCTTCCAACCCACATACTATCAAAGTTCAAACATGTGATGATAAATGAAAATAATGGACATGGGAATAACAACAACCAGAAAAGAAGCCCGGTTAGCTCAGCTGGTTAGAGCGTCGTACTAATAACTTCTCCTGTTCGAGGAATTATGAGGTATGCGAAGGTCAACAGTTCAATCCTGTTACTGGGCATTTGTTTTTTTGCCATTTTTTCCTCCTTATATTCTTTTTCTGTGTTTTCGCCTATGCGTGCTGTTTTGTCGCGCGGGTGGAAGCGTTTCTATCTGTCTTGTCCATTTTTGTTTGTGCGTGCTTCTGTTGTTTTCCGTGTCAGGGGAAGAAGCCCAAGCCACGCAGGTGTTTTTAATGGTGGAGGAGGGCTTAGCATATAGGGGTCGGGACAGCAATATGAGATAAACGAAACAAGGCTCTCTGCTTTAAAACCTTTGCCCATCAAAGGAATAAGCTCTTGCTGGCTTACACAGTATAGTTCTAGCCTCAGCGCGGACCAGGTGTACCTCCCTACCTCACTCAACACCGCGCACACGCTCTTGGTGACTGCTTTTCGTTAGAGTCCATGGAGTCTTTGAAGTATGCCCCCCTCGCTCGACGAGAACGCAGCATGGTGAATTGACCTTGTTGGGTGGTTCCCGAGAGGAGCGCACTGAACCACAGACAGATAAAAACAACCTACCTCACTCAGGGCGGCTCCTAAACACCCTTCCTTCTTCCTTCCTCGACCCCCCCAAAAATATATATATTTGTCTTAAACCGTAGGAAGCCGAATGCTTCCACCCCCAAGGGGTAGGCGGTCCCTCTTCTGACCCCAAAAGATAGAAGAATCGGGGCCCTTATCTTCAAGGTTACCTATCTAGGTTCGCAAGTGTGAGATATAGCAAGTAGGCTTCACAACCAGCACGAAGGAGCCATCGACCGAGCCTCATCTCGTGTAAACCGGACGATGCCCATAACTCGAAAGATTCTCACTTGTCTTTTCAAAAGGAGGAGGACAGTCTCAGAGAATGAATCGTCGAACTGCCTTTTATTTTTCATCCCCCGCTAAGTTCCTGCGTTTTCTATACGGCTAGCCTTCTCCATCGGCGTTTGAGATCCTAGGTAGGTTCCTAGGTAAATAGGTACACTTCTCCAGAGAGAGATAGTCCGAGACTAGGAGGAATATATATTTCAAGAGAGGACTGTCTCTGTTACTTGCATGCTGAAAGAGCACGGCGAATTAAATCACTTACCATCCACCTTAATTATCCTCCAAGGATTAAGTTTTTAAGTTTTTAGCACAGAGAGAGAGAGAGAGCATTATTAGCTCGATGGATAATATACACCACTTAGCTAGGTCCCTGTAACTAAGCTGGGCCTACCATCCCATTACCAGCAAGTTGGCTGAGAACATGAGCTTTCTTTCCTTCTGATGATTTAATCGCACATATTGGAGTGCTTTAAGGAAGTAGGCAGTAGATACTCGTCATCCCATACGGTATCCCACACAGCACAAAAGGGTGAGCAGGTTTGTTGTATGCCATGAACTCGTCCGTCCCTTCACGAGCATTCTGTTAGCTGCCCCTACCAAGATGATAACGTGGAGTATATAATGTATTCATAACCTAACCTATGCAACCACCGTCATAAGCTCATATCCTGCCTATTCAGGTCCAGCCAGCCAGCCCTCTCCCATATGCCATGCCATGCCACCCAGACCGAGATGCTACCAAAACCAAAGACCCAAACGCCATCCTGCCCTTGGAATGCTAAAGACCAGTCGCTAGTTGCTGTTTGCCTGCGCGAACATGATGATCCCACCTCACAGAAGCCACGCATAAAAGACATTACAGGAACCACAATAACCACCATGTCCCAGACATAAAGAAACCCGTCCGATGCAAACAAGGAAAGGGACAGCCCATGGGTATCCGATGCAACGCCATCCAACACAACTTCAGGGAAATCAACAACACCTCCTCCTCGCCCTCCCCCCACCATCGGCATCTCCCTGCTCCGCCCCCTCGGGCTGCTCAACCGTCACAGCAGGAGAAAAGCCCGGCGAGAACAACCAACTACGTCTATCCCGTCCAACCCGGAAACTCCCCCTCGGATTCACCGCATCAAAATACCCACCACCCCCTCCCCCTCCGCCTGTCCCCTCCCCTCCTGGCCCTCCGGGCGTAGGCGTCGGCCGATCCATCCCCGGCGTCGACGTCGCCGCCAATATAGCCTGCTGCATCTTGCGATTCTGCTCGACCAGCTTCCTCGTCACGACCCGGAAGACCTCGTCCACGCCCTCGCCGCTCTCGGCCGAGATCTCATGACACGCATCCCACCCGACCTCCTGCCCCCAGAACCCCGAGCTCCTCTTGGACGATGGACTCCTCGGCTCCGCACTCGCTACGACCTGCCCCCCCTGTCCAAACAGATGCTGTTGGTGGGGGTTATGATGCTGCAACAGCAAGGGCGTAATAGGCCCGGGCGTGGTCGCCGTCGGCGGCGGCGTGGACGACAACCCCGGCGCTAGATTCTCCGCCACGTACGCGATGCACCGCTCAAAGGGGACCTCGCGCTTCGACGGGTCGCGCGCGACGATGTCGGCCTTGGTGCCGACTACGTGCAGGACGATATCCGGCGACAGGTTTCGGCGCAGCTCCGTCAGCCAGATGCCCATCTCGGCGAACGACTGGGCGTCGGTGATGCTGTAGCAGAGGATGCAGGCGTTGGCGCCGCGGTAGTAGAGGCGCGAGATGGAGCGGAAGCGTTCCTGGCCGGCTGTTTTATTCGGCGTACAAATCAGCAAAAACAAAGAGGAAGAGAGGGACTGAAAAAAAAGAGGAAAAAAAAGACGAACCGGTATCCCAGATCTGCAACCGCACTACCGTGTCCGTGTCGGAATCCACCACGCGCTTGGTCATGAAGCTCGCGCCGACCGTCGACGTGATCTGCGCGGGCGAGAAGGCGCCCTTCACGTAGCGCGTCACCAGCGACGTCTTGCCCACGCCCTGCGAGCCGAGCACGACGATTTTGGCCTCGAGGGATGACATGTTTTTGTTGTCTCTGACTGGCTGGTCGACCGGCTTGCTGCTGCTGCTGCTGCTGCTGCTTGTCTCGCTCGCTCTCCGAGGAGCCGGCCCCGTTCACCAAATAGGCGTGCGTTGCGTGGGCGTGGGGGAGGGGAGGGGAGGGGCGTGAGGATGCTGCCTTTGTTGCTGCAAAGTGTGGAGAATCGGAGATGTTGCAGCAGGTGTCTCTCTCTGTCTGTCAGGCCTGTCACTGTCACTGCCACTGTTTTGTTAGGGGAATTTTTTAGGAGGGATTTCCCCACGCTGCGCTGCGGGGGCTGAGTGAGTGCTTGAATCACTGCCGGGCTGATTTCAATGCGATGCGCTGCGGCTGGGGCAGGCTGCTGGCAGATATTTGTGTCTCTGCTCCAGCCGTCCGTTTGCGACCCGCTGATTTGCAAAGACTCGTGACGGGCGATAGTCAGATTTGACGTCATAGATGGAGAAAAAGGTGTACACTAAGGGAAACTAGGTAGATAAGCTGCTGGAATAGAGATATGGCGATAACGATATGTCTCGTATTTAGGATTGGAATATAAGTCGAGTATACATGGGCCAAGAAATGGTCAAAGAGAAACCAGAGGAAGTCCTTGGATGATTCGACGAGGCAGCAACACACGCGGGGAAGGGAGGACGCACAGCTCCGCCTCTGGGCTGATCACCCGGGCGCCGCCGCCCCGGACCGACCAACTATCGTCAAGCTCCGTCTGCCGTCAACACTAGCCTTGCATCGGCAGCCAAACCATCAGGCAAGACCGGATGACCACGACGTAACATGGGACTCGAGAAAAAACAAACCGGTGGTTGTCAAACTTGTTGTCGGCAACACAGTTGTATCCGACGAACCAAGATTTTCCTTATTTCCTATCTTGTAGATGTTACAGCTTCGACTTGACCTTGTCCGCCAACCCCATCCCTTCCCTCTGCGGCGGACACACAAGCGGATCATAGACCGAATATGCCAGACTATCAGCCGGCGTGGCCGCATGATTGAACAGACTCCGCACATCCACCATGCTCGGATTCAGGTCTGCAATCTTGTTCGCCCCGATCAGCCGCATGTTCATCTCCATCTCGTCCTTGAGCAGCTGCATGGCCCGGTCCACGCCCGGCAGCCCGTACGCCGACATGGCATACAGAAACGGCCTCCCGATGCCCACCCCCTTAGCCCCGAGACACAGCGCCTTGAGGATATCCGTCGCCCGCCGGATGCCGCCGTCGATATAAATCTCAATCTTGTTCTCGAGCCCCAGCTCGCGCAGCACCGGCATCGTCTCGGCCAGAATCTCAATCCCCGACCGCGCAAACTCGAGCTGGCGCCCGCCGTGGTTCGAGAGCACGACGCCCTGCACGCCCGCCTCGATAGCCTTGAGCACATCCTCGACCCGCTGGACGCCCTTGAGCAGGATGGGCATCTTGGTGATGCTCTTGAACCACGGGATATCAGCCCAGCTCAGCGCCGGGTCGATGAAGCTGCTGATGGCCCTCGCCGCGCCCTGGCTGGTGTCCGTCGCCTGCCCGTTCTGCACGTTGCTCCCCGGGTCCGTGAAGCGCGAGCGCATGTCCTTCTCGCGCCGGCCGAGCTGCGGCGCGTCGACCGTGATGAACAGGCCCTTGCACCCGCGCTTCTCGGCGTGCTGCACGATGCGCTGCGTGATCGCCCGGTCCTTGTTGACGTAGAGCTGCAGCCACTGCACCTGGCCCGGCCCGGCGGCATCGACGATCTCGTCGAACGAACACGACGCCAGCGTGGGAATCATCTGGATCACGTTGTGCTTTGCCGCCGCCCGCGTGAGGATCACCTCGCCCTCGACATGGCCCAACTTGCCCAGGGCCGTGGCCGTCACGTAAAAGGGGATGTCGACCTTGGTCCCCAGCATGGTGGTGCTGAAGTCCACCTTCTCAACGTCCACCAGGATCTTTGGCCGGAACCAGATGCGGTGGAATGCCCCGTGATTCTCGCGCAAGGTCTGGACGGTTAGCTAGATGCCTCGCTGACAGAAAGAAAGAAACGTACAATCTCATCATCAGCAGCACTCGAGTAATACCCCCACGCCGCCTTCTTCATGACCCGCCGCGCGACCGCCTCAAAGTCCATGAGGTTGTAGCACTGCTCGAGCAGCGGCATCT